AAATAACTAAATCAATTTACTTTTTTAATCTTCTCAAATTAGTCAACTGGTTCTTATAATTAGGACCAGAGGTAATACTCTGTTATTATGTTTTCAACGTGCGCTTAACGATTATAATTGCCAACTTGATCAGCATGCACATTTTACATTCAGTATTGTAAATGTCCATTCACCAGCTGCGTAGGTTGCAAATTCTGCCTGCACACCCGTGATTACTGCTGGTTAGTGGGGAAACAAAAACACACACACACACACACACAAATAACTAATCAGTAATAAAAATAGAAAAATTAAAAATTAGACGAATTTAAGCTGTGGCTTATAAAAAGAAAATCAAACTCACTTAAAAGTTTGATATTTATATTTTGAATCAGAAAGAGTATGTGCATGCTATAAAATTGAGCCTTGCAGGTTAATAGCCTTCACATTAAATTAATTTATCCAACTAAACACATTTCTATAAGAAACAAATAGATACTAACTCGCTGGCAAAGAGAAAATACACTACTCTCTTTAGTCCCATACATAAGCTTTCCTTTTGAAGAGGAATCTTATCCACCGTACAGGGTCTATTCGAAAGGGGTTAAGAAATTCTCTATAAACACGTTTCACATGAGTTAAGACAAAAATTTTCTCATATACTTGCCTCATATTCCGTAAATCACTATTGAAAAGCTACTTATAAACTATTTTAAACCGGCTCATAAGCTTTATTTTAGTTTGTCTGACTATTCATTACTTTTTCCCCTTATTTTGCTGTAATTTGATTATATTCAATATTCCTTCTCTCTCATTAATATTATCTGCACATATTCTCTTTGGTCTTTTTTTTTTTCCTCTTTATCACCTCTCCCACTCACTCTTTTAATATATAAGAGCAAATTTAAAAAACAACAAATATATTTCTGACTTATTTACTCCTCCGGTCCTTAATATAAGACCCTTTTGACTATTTTGATTAAATTAAGGATGGTAGTTAAGTTAGGTAATAAATATAGATATTCCAAAATACCCTCGCTTTATACCTCTAAAAAGAAACTGACATTTGAAAAAAAATCAAGTCTGGTTAACTCGCCTCCTCCGGTACCAACGTCGTCCAAGTTCTCCTAGCTCACGCACCGTCCGAGTTGTCGGTCTCACTCATCAGTATGATTATTATTATGCTATTCCTCGGAGGTAAAAAAATCCAATTACCCTGAATGGGTATTTGTATAAAAATATTTTTTTAAAATGTTTAAATTATTTTATTAAAAATATAAAATGGTAGAATTGATGTATGTGTGAAATCAATAAGTAATAAGTATTCATTCACTTTATAAAATATATAGGTGTATTATTAATGAATAATGAGTATTATTGTCGTATTTAATTATCTAATAGGGGTAATTTAGGAAAGAATGAAAAAATATGAGAAAGGGATCCTATATTCAGGACCAAGATCAACCTTCTAATTGGGTCCTATATTAAAGACCGGAGGAGTACTATTTTTAACTAATTTTATTTGTTAGTTCGTTAAATGTAATTTGATTATTTGAAGTTTGGACATAGAACTGGAGAGAGTAATTCACAGAGATTAAAAAAAAAAAAAAGGTTTGAAACATGTGGGTTAGCCAATCGACTCAAGAACTTGTTGGGTATAATTTATAAATATTGTTCAATTGGCCCTTTTCTTCTCTGGCTGTAAGCTTGATCAGCCCTTGATATATAAATGACTGATGCGACGCTCGATTCAACGATTCCTTGGTTAGGAAGCATTATTTCAAAATTAATTAATTATGACACTAAATAATATTTAAAAACTTATAGGTTCCTAGTAATTTTTAAAGAAACAATGATCTCAATCTCTCTGATCTGCCAAGACCCCCCCCCCCCCCCAAAAAAAAAAATCTCTCTGATCTGTTGTTCCACTGGACCCTCTAAACTAGTAGTGAAGTTTATTAAAACCCATCGCTCCAGAATAGAATCTCAATTACTAAAGTCTAATAGTATATTTTAAAAAGATACGTCGCTTCGTTATTATTATATGTGATGTAATAATATTTAATTATCTAATTCAAATTGCGTTTGTCATTTGTCCACCGTCAGCCTAAAGTAAAGCATATCGTCTTATGTGGGGTCTGGGAATTATATATAATAACTTGACCTTAGAATATTATGCATGTTATTTAATTATTTCAACTGAGGAATATGGCGTGTTAGGCACTGGAAAAATAAATTTAATAGGCGTTTGGAATTTCTTGCAAGTTATTCCTTCAAATTTATATGGTGCCATTGTTTTTTTTTTAAATAATCAAATTGAATAATTCTGTAGTAAAAATGTGAAAACGGACAGGCCCATTACACCAGCTTATTTAACCCGTAAAAATAGGAAGGCGAACACCAATTGTTAAACTTGCGAGTTGACTCTCCGAGTTTAACGTTTTTACGTTTTCAGTTAACAAAATCGTGTCGATTCATTCTTAAACTTGTGATAACTGTAAATTTGATTGAACTTACGAGTTCATTTACCAAATTTACCGTTTTTACATTTTAAACTTATAAAATCGTGTTAACTCGATCTTAAACTTGTGCTCAATTTTTGGATTTGATTATGCTTAATGATTTTATATATAAATTTTATAGAAATTTCTTAATTGAATGTGATAAATTATGAATATTGATGGATATAATTTCAATTATTTAAATTTCAAATATTTACATGAAATTGTTCTTATTTTTTATATATTAATTATTTGATTATATACTTTTAATACCAATTTATTAATAAAAGTAAACTCTTATAAGTTCACGATTGGAGTTTATCATCCAAGTTTATATCATTCTCACGAGTTTGTTTAAACTTGCGAGTTTGACAACCTTGCCAATAAGTGCTTGTCCAAGTGGGAGAGGCTTAGACACCTTAAACGTCATGTCCTGGGTTTGATTATTAAAGTGATGTGTATGAAAAAAACACTACTGGGAGGGATCCCGCTACTGCTCCTGACAGTACTCCAGGAGTTAGTCTTTTACTATAAAAAATAAAATAAATAAAAGCACAGCTACCTCAAACGAAAAAAATTATTTAAAATTCCATCTATTTTTTCTTTTAAAAAAAAATCTGCCAATTGTATGAGCGGCCCTTCCTATTTATTAGTGCTGTTTAATTAAAACCCACCACATCGGAATATAATCTCAACTACAGAAAGTCTAATTTATTTTAATCAGATACATCTACCTATTATATTATACTGCAGTGTAATGGAACACGACGTAATATAATTAATTAATAATAAATTCAGACTGTATTTGCCATTTGTCCACCTTCAAAATAAATTATATAATTTATGCGGTGTTGTGTTATATATATATATATATATATATAATATAATAACCTGACCTCAGTGTACTATTCTTATTGTTTTAGTAATTGGGGGACATGATGTGTTTTGCACTGGGGAAAAAATATAGATTTATAAGCATTGGAGCTTCTTGCAAGTTAATTCTTTTATGGTTTCATTCTCCTATATGACTAAATAATTTTCTGGTGGGCACACGTAAAGCTCTGGGATTTTAAATATAGGAGCTGCTAAATAGTTATTTCGCCAGATGTTTAAATATTCTATTCAATCTTTAATATAAGTTATATTCTAAAAAAATTTGTATAGTGCAAAATATAAGACATTTTGTGAAAAAAAACGGTTGATAGACTGATTTTTCTCTTACTTTTTCCCACAAACAATATCATCAATTATTTTGCAGAGACCAGAGAGGGATGATGCAACAAGTAAAATGGAGCACTATATTATTTTCTTTGAAATTTTCTGGAGCTGGATTTAAATATTTTTTTTGCACATTAATTTAAATATCGTTAGGCTGAATTCTGGATAACTGATTATTAGGCCCCTTGACATGTCAGCGCTAATCTTGATCATGGTCCGGTAGGCCCACCCTATAAGAAGCCTGTGGTAAATTAAATACTGGGCTTCTGATTTTGAAGCCCAAGTTAGAACGACAAGCCCAGACCGCCACTAAGGCCTTTTCAGAAACATACCGCTAAAACAAAGAAACAAACAAATAAATAAACAAAGTGGAATAGAAACACAATACTAATTGTAGCCAAAAAAAAGAGAAAGAGAAACACAATACTAATTGTTTCTTCTTTTCTTTGTTTTTTTTAATTGGGCTGAGTTATCAGCGTTTGAGTGTTTTTTTATCCTATTTGTATGTATTTTTTAATTAGAAGTAATTCTATTTAAAACACTCGTTTATTAAATGTGTATAGGTTTCCTAATAAAAAATTTAAATATTGGCTCTCTATGGTGTAAGGAATGGGTTCTTCGGTTAAAGATATCTCCTATTGCTGCGTTTGAGTTGATTTGTCTTACTAGTCCTAATGAATTGGCTGTCAGGTCTTTAATTAATTGGCCATATCATCATAAAAGATTGAAGGCGGAAGCAATCACAGGGTGATGATGGTGTGGGCATGTGGCCCTAACAACCTAACCTCTGCCTCACTCACGTGACAATCATTATAAATCTCACATTGACAAATAAAAAAGGTAATAAAATAAATAACAAATTATACCATCAATCAAATATACTTAATGAATAATATGGTTTATTATTCAAATTTCATATGATGCGTCAACATATATAATGGTGCTTAATATTGTGCACTTTTTTCAATAAAAACAAAGACAGCGCCTGTGCAAATATATAAAAACATCTTTTTTTTAAAAAAAATTTTTTTTGCCAACTAATAAAGAATTTTGTTCTTATGATGTTAATCGTTAAATATTGATCGCTATGTTGACTGGAAGGATCCAAGATTCATACAACTTTGGCGCACGCGGACAAAAGTTCAAAAGCAGGGGATGAATGAAACCATGACCCGCCCCCGCCTAAACAGAACAAATAAACCGGATTCATTTTTTGTTTTTATTCTTCACAAATTTTATTAGAATATTAGATTATGCGATTTACGTTTGACGTTGCTTCATAACAATTTCCCAGCGGAGAAAATAACGCTGTAGTTAGATCTCGCAAACACCTCTTCCCTGCACAGGAAGTTCCGATTCCTATTGGAAACTGCAGCATCGCTTTTAGCATTTCGGATGTCATCTCCTGCGCCGTCGTTCCATGGCCTAGCTTCCGATCAAGGTACTCCTCTCTTCCTACATTCCACCTTGCTATGTTTTATCTGTTCTCCGTTTCTCTCTTTTGATGGAGTCTTTGAGGATAATAAACACGACGGTCGGGACTTCCCGCCGTTTTCCTGGAATCTTGCTCCGTGGAATTTCAAACCAGCAGGCTCTGTTCTGTTTGGTCGAGCGGAAGATGCCGCAATACTATAGGCGATTGAAAATATTGGGTCCCTGTGAATCATTACTGTGATATTTATTTCTTTAAATATTTACTCTGTGTCGAATCGTAAATTTTGCAAGGTATAGTTTCCTCTGGTTGTGGACGAGCAGGGGTGTTCTGGATTATCATATCACTGGCAATAAATCGCAGTTATTCTTTCATGGTGCAGCATAAGAGGAGGATCTCAATGGTGTATGGGACTCAGCTGAGGTGATTGTCGCAGTCACAGTGGGGGGCAACAACGGGGTGGATCGGATTCGGATGGACAAGAGCAAGAGCCGTACCGATCTACTCGCGGCAGGAAGAAAAAAGGTATCTATCCAGTGCCTATGTATTTTCAAGCTTGTTCAATTATCGTCTGAGTAAATGTATGAAAATTTTCATTCAAAAAAACCAGTAGATATATAAATTTGGCTTAGTCACAATCGTGTGTATATCTGTTTAAATGAAAATTCTAACTCTACTTCAAGTCTACCCTAACATTGTTCTGTATTTCCTCTAACCAACTTGACTAAGATATATTTGTTCCGATAGAATCTCCTGCCAGAGTTCAACAAGCTTAATAGAAGCATTCTATTTATTAATACGAGAAACGCAACTATCACTCTTTTAACTTTGGGTTATTTGCAAACTCTTTCCTTAACCCTTGAAGAAGGCTCAAGTGAACTATGACCCTTAAGGACACAGATCTTTTTGTTCAGTATCTCGTTAAATATCGCACTTGGCTGTTTCAGTTGTCAAGTAGCATACCCCCGCTAATCTTTTAGTCAAGTTATAAGCTTTGAAAGTTCCATATGACTTTCGAATCACCGGGGATTGCAGTATTGAAAGATTTTCTGTGACAGTTGGAGTGATGTGGAGCGCAAAATTGGATGGGAGTTCATTTTATGATTTTCAAATTGCGCTTAGGGTTCCTATTCGGGGGTTAGAGTTGTAGGCATTTTTTTTACTGACTCTAGGTCGGGTTTAAGAGATGAAATCAAAACACTTTCAGTATTTTTAACTTTGGATAACCAACTCAGAAATAGAAATTTTAAGAAAATTACCCTGGATTTCATGTTACAAAACCGAGGACAGGTAGAGGCACCGAAAAATTTATATTTACAAATTAAATTTAACTATTTATTTTTTACAAATCTGGCTTTAGAAGTCAAATTTCTGAAAAATTAAATTCCTTGGAACCTCTTTATATTTATTTTTTTACCTTTTTTTTTTAAATTTTTCTATTTCTTATGCCATTGTTTTTTAATCTCTGCCCATCAATTGAGAAAAGCATTGAGTACCATGATGTTTTAAATTTGGGGGACGAGTCTGAAAATTTATTTATTGAATTTCCCATGGCACTTGCACGTGCCAATTTTTAAAATAAATTATTTAGTGATTTAATGAAATATATAGTGAATGAAGAATTTCAATTAAACTTTGAGTTTGGCTACGACTAAATAGATATTCAGTTAGAAATTTACGCGCGAATGTGCCAGTAGAGTTGGTACTTCTGTAATGCCATTTTAGGAGGGACGATGTTAGACCGAGCTACTTCTCTTTCATTTTCAGGAATTGTTTTGATAACCAAGCTCTACTTACATGATAGCATTGCAAGACCCGAGTGATTTTCCTTCCACTTTCTTAATTCTGATGGCTGATGGAGTGGGGGTTGGCTGAGCGGAAACATGTTAGCCTGGGGATTCAGAAATTATTGTCGAATCATTCTGACTGGCCTCTGCCATGCCTTCCAAAGTTTAACTAAATTCTACATTTAGACTTATGCATGCTTTCGGAATTACCAAAAAATTATGCGATTCACACAAACTAATCCAAATGATGAATCTCATTCAGCTGTTCCTATTCTTTACGAAAGGCTGATGAATAATCTAACTTAAGTTTAACTTTCAATATTCTAAGTTTGCTTTCTTGGGACATACAAGTACATAATTTCATCTTTCTTCCTATGATTTAACTTGAGTTTGACCATAGTTCAATATTATTCAGTTGGAAATTTTAATGATTAAATATGATGCCATTCAAGTTTGGAATGATCTGAGCTAGATGTTGTTATGCGAGGGATTCAGAACTTATCGTGAAGCTATTCTGATTTGCTTCTTTTTTATGCCATAAAGTTTAAATATATCATACAGATTTAGACTTCAGATATTTATTATGTAGGGATCACCGTTTTACTCTCGAAGATAAACAACAACAACAACAACAATCATCATCATCTTGGTGTTGAACTTCATTCAGCTGTTCATATTTAAACATTATTTTCATAGGATATGAAAGTATATAACTTGTTCTCTCTTCCTATGGTTCCTTGACTACCGATGTAAAGAATAGAGAGGAATATCCGCAGTCCTTTGATTTGAATTTTTATTGTTATTTCTTTTCCTCAGCTTCAGCAATTTCGTCAGAAGAAAGACAGTAAAGGGGGAAGTAGCCATGGAAAATCTTCGAAAAGGTCTGTTAAGTCTGGAAAAAATGAGCCTGACGCTGAAGGAGTTACTGGTGGCTCTATATCAACAGCATCATCTCACCTTACCGAGGGGAATGTCGAAACTAACGCTGATCCCTATTTGGGTATCAAAGAGGTTTCAGAATCAGAGTCTTTGGGAAACTCGCTGACTCCTGACTTTAGTGCTTCTTCTGTTGATTCATCATCGGCAATCAGTAATGACACAGGCGTTCAATTGCAATTGGCTTCTAATACTGAGTTAGCACTTCAGCCTCATCGGGGCGGTGAACGTGAATCTGAGGTGTTAGTCCCAAACGAAGAGGAAACTACCGAGGATATTGGTGTTGACATGTTGGAAAACGTCCCTCTGAGAACTTTTCATGGTCCTGTTTCAGAATGTGGAACAACGCTTGACCATATATCAAGTCCTGTTGACATGTTGTCCGTACCTGCTCCAGTAACCACTGAAGCGGGAAAGTCTTCTAGAGTTGAAAGAGAGAGCAGAGATGCGGAGGAATCCTTTATTTTGTCAGGGGAAATTCCTAATACGTCCGAGTCAGTTAAAAATGGAGGGGAAAGCACTCAAGATGTCGGCACTGAAATGGTGAAGGACCTGTCTGAGACAACTTTGCTTAGCCTTGGTTCTAAAGGTGTCACAGTGAATGACCATATGTCCGCTCCTGTTGACATGACGTCCGTACCTGGTCCAGTAACCTCTACAGCAGGCAACGCTTTTAGACTTGAAATTAAGGGTGAAGATAAGCAGGAAGCTTTGCTACTATCTGAGGATATCCCTAATTCATCTTTGATGAAAGCAATGGAAGATCAGGTAACAGATGTAGGTTGTGCTCTTCTCTTTTTTAACCTCTTTAATTTTAGGCTTTGACTTTTGATATGGGGGGAATAATTGGGAAGGATGGGTAAGCTGATGTGTGGATTTGATGTATAATTATGTTCTCATTTGTTGCTGGGTAGGGGCAATGCAGGAAGCTGATGGTCTGGATAAAAAGCAATATGGTCAAAGCAGTCATATGCAGATTGATAGCCAGAAGAATCTCAAATTGTCTGAGGTTGGTGAGAGTGCTCGGTTTGTGTCAGGACTTGCTTTGGATGACAATAAAATAGAGGAGGCATCTCATGAAGCAGCCCAAATTGGCGAGGCAGTTGAAGCTTCATCATCTCTTGAGGATGTCACATCCAGTAGGCGTTCAGATTCTGCTAAAGGGAAGGACAATGAAATTGCAATTGCTGGACATGTCAAGAGAAATCTGGAAGGGGATCCACTGCCGGGTTCACCTCGTGTTGGACTGCAAATGCTTCTTCCTTCCAGTGATGAACAGAGTATGAAAGAAGTAGTTTCTAGTAGTGACAGGGGACTAGAGGAGAGGCTTGACCAGCAAGATTCTCCGGCTCAGTCGTTATATGTGGAGAAAAGCCATGAATTTCCAATGGGAGTTCAAGAGACAAACTTGGCCGGACCATCGGTTGTTTCTCCGACATTTGATGTGAGCTCAATCAATCTCTTGCAGCTGACAGAACTTATAAGGGGACTTGGTGAAGAAGAGTACAACTTTCTGCTTAAGTCAAGTAGAACATTTTCTAATGCAGATCCTATATTCAGCACCTTAATTCTAACAGATCATGGTTTTTGTGAAGTGTTCGAGAGACTCAAAGAAGAGTTATTTCTTGCTGTTTTTATGAAAGATTTATTCAATTTACAATTGGCTGAACAATTGGAGCAACAACTGGTGTCTGACAACCGGAGTTATCAGTTGATTAATGAACTATCTGAGCTTCACGCTTTATGTAGTGCAGTTAGTGAGAAGAATCAACTACTTGCTGAAGAACTTTCAAATTGTCGTCTTGACTGCATGATATTGCCAACAAGAATGCAGAATTGCAGAAGAAGTATGCTTCTGCCGAGGCAGAGATTGAAGCACTCTCTGCTAGAGCACTTGAGTTGCAGAATTGTTATGAAATTTCTCAGAAAGATGCACTTGATCTGTCTAGAGAGCTGGATGACTGTAGAGGGTCGATTACGGTTTTACGTGCAGAAAACAAGGGCATGAATGAATCAGTCGCGTTAATGATTGAAGAGAAAAAGAAACTTGTGGAGGAAAAGGAGTTTCATCTATGTGAAAGTCAGAAGCTGTCAACAGAATTAGCTCTTTTGACCAGCAAGAATGCAGAACTGCAAAACCAATGTGTTTCTGCCAAGGTAGAGACTGAAGAACTTTATGCTAGAGTATTTGAGTTGCAGAATACTTGTGAAACGTCTCAAAAAGATGCGCAGGATCTGTCTACGGAGCTGGTTGGCTGCAAAGGCTTGGTCTCAACTTTACAAGCAGAAAATAAGGAAATGAATGAATCGGTTGCATCAATAATTGAGGAGAAAAAGAAACTTGCAGAGGAAAATGAGTATCATCTACGTGAAAGTAAGAAGCCGTCAACAGAATTAGCTGATGTCAAGAGTTCAGTGGAAGGACTAAAAGCTGAAAATTTAAATCTAAATGGGAAATTGTCTTTGGTGACTGAAGAGAAGAATAAGATTGAAGCCGAAATTCAGCATCTCTCCCATGAAATTGACAGGCTATCAATGGAGTTGGTTGAGAGTAGAGAGTTGGCGGCAAGTCTACAGGTAGAAAACTCTAACTTAAGTGGGAGCCTTGCACTGTCAGTCGATCAGACTAAAATGCTTGAAGAGGATAAAGAAGCTGTTATTCTTGAGAATCAAAGACTCTCGTCTCAGATTATTGTTTTTCAGGAGCAGTTATCTATAGAAATTGAGAAACTAATGAAGTGCGAAGTTGAACTTGAAGAGGCCACATTGCAGCTTGAACAAGTCACCAAGGAGAACTTCTTTGTGAGAAGCACTTTGGATGCGCATAAGGCTAACGCAGAAGAAATTGGCAATAAATACAGCCAACTGCTATCTCAATATGATGAGCTCTATAGTCGAGCACAGATGGCAGGGCAGAGATGTGAGGACCATCAAAGTAAAATTACAAAAGATTCTTTGCCTGTCCTTTTGGAGCGAGATGGAAAAGGGGATCCTGGGGAGCCATCATTGAATCTACTTGAACACGAGGACTTTTATAGCTCTATTGGTTTTGTTGCTTTGAAGATGCGTCTGGATGAGATGGAGAGTATTTTGGAGAAACTAGAAAAGGCAACTGATCGGTTACATTCTCATTCGGTATCACTTGGTCGGTCCCCCGGTAAAATTTCCTCAGCTGGGGTTTCAAATTTGATAAAGGCCTTTGAATCGAAATCACAAAAAAATGAACTTGAGGTAGAGGAAAATGATCCCAATGAGCGTCAGGTACCACCCGATCCATTTATGTCAGCCAAAGGGAAAATTGGAGACTTGAGAGCGTCGGTTACAAAATGGAGATTGGATGTTCAAAACGCTGGTGTATTGTTTAAGGAGGAGCAAGATGGTAGGAAGAGTAGTGAAGCCAGGTGTATAGAACTCCAAGATCTCTTCGAAACATTGAACCAACACTGCTTGAATTTGGAAGTATCCAACATTGAACTTACTGTTCAATATGAAGTCTCCAGGCAACTTCTGGTAGACACACAAGAAAGTAAATGTCATCTTGAAAAACTCTTTGAAGCTTTAAACCAAGAAGATGTCCTTCTCAAGGCCAAACACGTTGAGCTTTGTGAAAAGCTTGGAAATTGCAAGTCGAAAATCAGCAACTTGATTACTGAAATAAATGGTGTGCAACAAAGTTCAAATGAGATGGCTTCTACTATTGGTATTCAACTTGAGAATTTGCAGAAGGAGGTGGCAGATAGGGCAATGTTTCTTGAGCAAGGTTGGAATACCACAGTTGTCGGGATTGTTGAAGCAACTAGGAGACTGGGTGAATCAGTTGGGGAGGCTTTGTTAGCAAACACCTCTGTTGGTTCCCTTGATGGTTTGGATGTCAATCATCGGCTTGTAGTTTCAGTTAGTGCAGCCACTGAATTGATTGTTGATCTTAAGAAGAAGCTTGAAGCTACTTATACAGAACATGAAATGATGCGTGCCTCGGTAAGAGAAGCGAGTGCGAAATGTGATGATTTGCTTGAGAAGAATGATCTAGCTGTCAGTATATTGCATAAGATTTACAGTGACCTGGGGAAACTTGTTCTTAACCACGTCGGACCAGTGGATGAAAGGATGGTTGATATACCAAGTGATGCATTGCTTGATCCACTGAACTATGCCAATTATGAGCCCATAATGCGATCTCTTGAGGGTATAATGATGGAGAAGCTTGAACTTGAGTCTGTTTCCATGGCGGTAAAGTCAGAATTAAGTCGCAGGGAAAAAGAATTGGAGGAATTGAGCTTTAAGTGTGTTGGCTTAGATGTTGTTAGTAATATGATTGAAGATATTGAAGGTGTGCTGCATGTAGAAGATACTGATACCAAACTAAGTAGGCAACCCCTCCTTCATCTCGCATCTTTGGTGTCTAGTCTTGTTCAGAAAACTAGTGAGGCTGACATGCAGGCACGAATAGCTAAAGAGGACTATGGATCTAAGACGCTGGAACTGACTGAATTACATGCAAAGATCCATTATTTAGATGCTTTACATATTGAGCATGAAAACGAAACCTTCATTCTCAAAGAAAGCTTACGTGATGCGGAGGAAGCTCTTATTGCTTCTCGTTCTCAGTTATATGAGAAAACAAGGGAACTGGATGAGTCAGAACAGCGCGTGTCTTCTATTCGGGAGAAGCTTAGCATAGCAGTTTCCAAGGGGAAAGGGCTGGTTGTACAGCGAGATGGCCTCAAACAATCCATGGCGGAGACTTCCAATGAATTGGAGAGATGCATGCAGGAGTTACAGTTGAAAGATGTTAGAATCCACGAAGTTGAAACAAAACTTCAGACCTATGCAGAGGCTGGTGAGCGTGCAGAGGCTCTGGAATCGGAACTTTCATATATTCGTCATTCAGCTAATGCCTTGAGAGAGTCATTTCTTCTTAAAGACTCAGTTCTTCAGAGACTAGAAGAGATTTTGGAAGATTTAGATCTGCCGGAGCAGTTTCATTCGCTAGATATAATTGAAAAGATTGATTGGTTGGCTAGGTCAGCTGCTGGTAACACATTAGCCTTAAATGATTGGGATCGGAGAAGCACTGCAGATGGAGGTTCTTATTCGAATGCTGGTATTGTTGTCATGGATGCCTGGAAAGATGATGGTCAGCTGCTATCTGATGCTGGGGATGATTTAAGAAAAAAATTTGAGGACTTAAAGAGCAAGTATTATGAGTTGGCCGAACAAAATGAAATGCTGGAGCAGTCGCTGATGGAAAGGAACAGATTAGTTCAGAGATGGGAAGAACTTGTGAACAGGATAGATATGCCTGCACATTTGCGATCCATGGAGACAGATAGCAGGATTGAGTGGTTAGGAAGAGCTCTTGTTGAGGCTAATCATCATATTGACTCACTTCAGATGAAGATTGAAAGATATGATAGCTATTGTGGGTTGCTAAATGCTGATCTGGAAGAGTCTCAAAGGAGAGTATCTGCTCTTCAACAAGACCTCAGGGCTGTTACCTCTGAGAGAGAGTATCTTTCTGAAAAAGCGGAGGCTTTGATGTATGAGTGCAAGAGACTACCAATGCATTCAAAGCAAGTTGAACTTGAAAATGAAAAGTTACATCATGAAATAACTATCTTGGAGGAGAGCTTGGAGCAGAAAGGTGTTGTTGAGGGACAAATTCTCATTATCGAGGGAAAAATCAGCAAATTGCTAGATTTGGTCAGTGACGTCTTGCAGGGATCCATAGCGGAAAACCTGATGTCTAGTAATGGAAGTATTGATTCCTTGGAAGTATTACTTAAAATGCTTGTAGAAAATTATGCAACTCTCTTGTCAGAAAAACTTGCATATGGGGATGCACTTGATAGGCACGGCACACAAAAAGATGATGGAACTCTTCATGAGGAAAGAAACATGGATATGATTAGTAAGGAAGACCCATTTATAGTCAGTTTGAGAAAAGATCTTGAGGAGGCCTTACGTGAATTGATGCATGTGAAGGAGGAGAGAGATGGAAATTTGGAGCATCAAATATCTTTATCTGGTGAAGTTGAAGCCCTGGGTAAGAAAACTGAGGAGCTGCAGGAGCTTTTAAATCAAGAGGAGCAGAGATCAGCTTCTGTTAGAGAGAAGTTGAATGTTGCAGTGAGGAAAGGGAAGGCATTGATACAACAACGAGATAGTCTAAAACAAACAATTGAAGAGATGAATAGCGAGATGGTGCACTTGAAATATGAGATTAGGAATCAGGAAAAAACTCTCGCAGAGTATGCACAGAAGTTCAAAGACTTGGCAACTTACCCAGATAGGTTAGAAGCTTTAGAATATGAGAGCTCGCTTCTGAAGAATCATCTGGCAGAAACAGAACATCATCTGCAGGAGCGGGAATACACTCTGAACATTATTTTGAACAAGTTAAGTGATATTGAGGTTAGCGGTGACAATGACACAGGTGATCCTGTCAAGAAGTTGGAATTGGTTGGGAAGTTATGCTCTGATCTGCATACTTCTGTGTCTTCTTTAGAACAAGAGTCTTGGAAATCTAAAAGAGCAGCGGACCTTCTTCTGGCTGAATTGAACGAGGTTCAAGAGAGGAATGATGCTTTTCAAGAGGAGCTTGCAAATGTGACTGTTGAACTTGCGTATATCAGAAAGGAAAGGGATTCAGCTGAGGCTGCTAAAGTGGAAGTTCTTTCGCATCTTGAAAAGTTATCAGCTCTGCATATAGAGGAAAGAAACAATTATTTTTCTGAGCTCTTGGTATTAAGATCTAGTATGAACGAACTCCACACAAGCTTTGGCGAAATTGGCAAGTTATTGGCTAATGTACTTTTCATGGACTTGGAGTCTTCTCGAAAACTTGAGATTGGTCTTAAGTCATGCTTGAATGACAACAATGCTGCAAATGGGGTCGATTCACATGTCAACAGTGGGTGTGATGGCGATTTACACAAGTCAATTGATAATAAGGTATTGGTATTCTATGAATGCTCGCCAGTCTTTATTCTATGTTAAATGTCTTTCGTATGGTATGTTACAATTTACAAGAACGAGAAATCGAACAAGCCGTGCGTTGTTTTCGGGGTTTGTCCCCCGGGGGGGTTGACTTGACGTTGCCCCCATGTTTGCCATTGCATTCTGCAGTATTTACAAATGGTCTCTCTCTCTCTCTCTATATATATATATGAACCTTTTGCGCTGGAACAAACTGTGTACTGCCCAAAATGCAAGTCACGTCTCAAAAAAAAAAAAGAAAAAAAAATTATCCCGATCCAAAACATGTCATGTTTGGGTGTTTACTGTGCTAATGTTTTCCCCTATTTTGCCCTTGCATTGTAATTAATGTTATGTTAGAATTTAATGCATTTAATAGCGGTGGTGGTGGAAAGAAATGTAACTCTTCTTCCAGATTTAATGAGTTATTCAGTTTTTTGAGTATTTCCTTGATGCGTGTGAAGTTTTCTTAAATATGACATATTTTAGATTCGAGGGAGTATCTACGTAATATTGCAGTCAGTTGCTTTTTGAAATTTGTTTGAATGTAATTTTCTTGACTTAGCCCTCATGCGTTGTTTCATGGGTCCGCCTTATTCTGAGCACTTGAGACTTACATTGTGTTTTTCATGAGTTAAGGTTTTACAGAACTGTGATTAATAATTAATGGTTTTGAAGCTTTTTTTGGTGTTGATGTTCAAATCTGTTCATGGAGGTGTATTACAGAGCTTGCCTCATTAATATATAATGCCATGTTTCAAAAGCAGTTCATACTTTATTCAAAAATAAATGAATGAAAACAAAAGAGAGGTTGCTCATTTAATTTGTTTCCTCTGTGGTGCCTTGTTTGTATCATTTTATCTCTTTTCTTCGATGGATCAATTGCATTCCTACTTTATATTGATTGGGCCTATAATCAATTCTCTCTTTTCATTTTTTTGCAATTATTCTCCAGAAGGAAGCCATATCTGTGGATTCTTGGACGAATTTTGACAAAGTTGATCGTGCTGATGATACTACCATCATTAAAATTTGTCATCTTCTGGGGCATCGGCTGCAAGACTTCTTAATGGATTTCACTTCTCTTAAGGAAAGCTTAAACAGGCACTCGCGTTTAACACAGGAGCAAGAAAGAACTCTTTCTAATCTAGTGGTGACTATTCAAAGAGAAATGACTTACCAAAGAGAGTCATGCGAAGCCTTGAAGAGCGAAATTAGTGAAAAAGACGGGGAACTGGCTGCATTATGTGGGAACGTTGCCTACCTCTATGAAGCATGTACTAACTCTGCTATTGTGATTGAACATGGAAAAGATGAACTTATTGGAAACAAGGTAGCATCTTCGGATCTAGGAATAAATTTGGAAGAAGCATCACTTGTTGATGGTGGAGAACCTTTCAGCGGCCGGGTTCAGTTGATGTCTGAAAAATACATTAAGACTGTAGCAGAGAGATTGCTGTTTGCTGCAAAAGAATTTGCTACTGTAAAATCAGACTTTCTAGATGCTAACCAAAAGGAGATGAAGGCTGCCATAGCAAACCTGCAGGGAGAGCTCCAGGAGAAGGATGTTGAAAGAGAGAGGATTTGCTTGGAACTTGTAAATCAGATTCGGGATGCTGAATCTGCTACTAAGAGTTGCACTCGAGATCTTCAAGCTTCTAGGATTCGAGAGAATAATTTAGAAAAACTGGTGGAAAAGCTTGAGGCTGAAAGGAAGATTTTGGATCAGGAAATGAACAAATTGCAAGATGCACGGTTGACTGCGGTTGAGTTAGAGGAGAAAATCGGATCTCTGACTGATTTGGTTTCTGCCAAAGACCAACGTCTGTTTGCTTGCTTTTTTCTTTTCCTCTTTAACGAGTAAGCTTTTAAAATTTCATTGCATTACAGACTTTTGATGTTTCTATTACTGTTTATTGCAGAAATAGAGGCTCTAATGCATGCACTTGATGAGGAAGAGATGCAGATGGAAGAGTTGATGAAAAAGAGTGAGGAACTTGAACATCTTTGTGAGCGGAAGTGTCTGGAAATCGAGAAGCTTGAAGCCTCTCGTGGTAAACTTATGAAAAAGCATTCCATCACAATAAGCAAGTTTGACGAGCTTCACCATCTTTCTGCAAGTCTCCTTGCTGAGGTTGAGAAGTTGCAGTGCCACTTACAAGAACGAGACGCTGAGATCTCTTTCTTAAGGCAAGAGGTCACAAGATGCACCAACGACATTCTTCTTGCATCACAAATGAACAAGAGAAGTTCCGATGAGATTCTTGAGTTCTTGATGTGGATTGACATGATGGTATCTCGAGAGGGGACGCGTGATATGCATCCTGAGGCGAAAAGTGACAGTCACGTTGATGAATACAAAGAAATGCTTCATAAGAAGCTGATTTCTGTATTATCAGAATTGGAGCATTTGAGAGGAGATGCGGAAAACAAGGATGCTCTGCTACTGGAAGAAAGGAGTAAGGTGGATGAGTTGGCACATAAAGCAGAAGCTCTTGAGATGTCTTTGCGTGAGAAAGAATCACAATTGAATTTGCTTGAAGGTGTGGAAAAGTCTGGAAGGGGAGCTAACACGAGCTCAGCCTCAGGAATTTTGGAGGTTGAACCAGTGGTGAGTCAACCATTTTTTATTGCCGCATTAGTTTTGCGTTCTGAAAAGGAACTTGAGGGTTAATAATTAGTATTCCCTTGGGCAATCTGCCGGGCTAGCTATCTCCTCTGCACTTGTGTGAATAATTTCAAAAGAATGTTGACGCCTGTCATGTGTCTAGACGAACAACTTCGGGAGAGAATAGAGGGTAAGACAGTGGTGGGAGGGCTGGCTGGCACAAGGCAATATTTCTGTTGAGTCTGTCATCCTAGACTTGTTCGTCAAACTTAACATGGTAATTAGATTGTATAGTCAACTTTTTAAACTGCATTACATTCGGAATCCAGATCACAGAGGAACGATAATCAAATATGATTGAAATAAAATTGATTTTTATGCTTAGAGTTTAGATTTTGGCGTTTCTTTCTCTTGCGCCGTTTTCATTAGTGATTGAATATGACAGTTAATGTTTCCTGTTTGAGAGGGAAGATATCCCTTACGCATATGAATGGCGATGAAAAGATTTTAATAGTTTTTCTCATCGACATTAGTGCGATTACGAGAATGATTCTTCTGGGTGGGGGTTTTGTTTGATTTGACATTGAGGGATTAAGTCTATTATTGGCTTCTATGCAGATGGATAAGTGGACAGCAGCGGTGACGTCTGCGACATCTCAAGTTCGTAGTTTGCGCAAAGGCAATAACGATCATGTTGCCATTGCTGTAGATGTAGACCCTGGTAGTACTAATAGGATAGAGGAGGAAGATGACGATAAAGGTAATTCCGCACCATGTACTGTGAAGGGGTTCGTCAACTCGAAGTTCCTTAATTTTGGTTGTTTATTTATTATTCCCGGCTTCTTTTCTTTGTGTCACAGTTCATGGTTTCAAGTCACTTACTTCTTCGAGAATTGTTCCGAGATTTACAAGACCTTTGAGCGACATGATTGATGGCTTATGGTGGGTACACCTACCCTCTCTCTCTCTTTTTCTTTTTTTACATAAGTAAGATTTCTTTAGCATGATGCGATTTGGATTCCCATTCATGCAGGGTTTCATGCGATCGAGCTTTGATGAGACAGCCTACCTTGCGACTTGGAATTATAATTTACTGGGCCATAATGCACTTATTACTTGCTTTTTCTGTAGTCTGAGAAGCTCTGATTCGGAAGCTTACGAGTCAGGTTTGGCTAATCTATTATTAGGTTGGTCTGCTTTATATAATCTGAAGCCAGTCACGGGAGGGGGAGGAGGGGGAGGTTTAACCCTATAGATTTGGGGTTGTTAGCTCCGCCTAAACGTGCAAAATTATAAGGTTTGGTTGTAGAGTATCTCCCTTCCTCTTTGTTCTTCATCTTATGACTCAGAGATATCATCTATTATCAGCAATAAAATGAAAACAGATAGAGTAGTGATCAATAGAAAAGATAACAGTGAAGCAGAGTCACAAATAAGCGTTTTCTAATACTGGGGAAAGAAAAATGAAGAGCATGCTACCCAAACCCTAGTTGTGGGTTGTCAAGAAACAGGAAAATACGATACTTGGGGATTCCTTTACCTTCTAGTATTCTTCGGACATCTTGTAGGAGGACCACATGGGGATAGGAGGTAATTCTTTTTGTACTGACATTTTTTCCCACCATTTATCTGGATAACAATTAGCAATTTCAGAGTTCACCATTCTTTTTGTATCAAATGACCATATCATGACAGTGAAAATTTTGCAGTTTCCAGAATCATATGACTCTTATTGGCCATAATGCGCGACTTGTCTTTGTAGTGTTCCAAGTAGTGAGTCGGCATATTCATATTTCAAGTTGTAACTTTATCTCTAATTGTGGATTGTTGATTTTGGCATTTTATGATTTGCAGGGGAATCAACTTTGACTTTTATACGCATGTTATGTGATATTCTCAGCTTGTGCTTAAAAAAAAAAAAAAAAAAACTGATCGGGACTTTTGTCCGAGCCTCATCTAATTCCAATTGTTAGGCCTGTTGGAATGCAGCAGTCACGGAACCAGCAGCAAATCATTTAGGCTGGGGCCTGGGGGTCATTATGAAACCAGTTAACATATTTTTCACCCCCACAAACTTTTTGTGTTAGTTTGATTTTGTCGAAAAAAATATTATATTTATTACAAATAATTTTTAAAATAATTTAATAATCAGAAAATGTAATTGGAAAACGAATTATAATGTATAATGATCTAAAATTTTTCAAAAATATGAACTTAAAAGGCATACGTATTAATATATTAATTGTATAAAGTTGTCAGGGATATATAGAAAGTTTTGTTTTCGATATGAATGTATATGCCAGCGCATACTGATAATTTAAACCAGAGATAAGATATATCTTCATGTTTCAAAAGTGATTTTATGATATTCGAGATAAGTGTACGAAAAAAATGTTGTCTTAACTTGTGCAAAAATATTTTTTTAACTAATTTATGTGTTTTCCATATGTTTTTAAATTGTTTATAACTTTGCTGAAACAATTGAAAATAACTCAACAAATATAATTTAACATCTTATGAGTAGCAAATAATTCTAATAGGTACTTAACGTAACGTATTGTTAACTAAATCCATTTAATCATACATGTGCATGATCATCTAAAGTCAAAATTGTTGCAAAGTATACAGATAAGACGTGGGAGCATAGAATTGTAGAATAATACGTCTTGAATTGCTGATTTCACACATGCATCATGCGTGTATTACCAGATTAATAGGTAGGGATAACACACTCAGCCTAGAGACAGCAAAAACCAAACCCCAAGTTGCTATTAACAGCATGCCATATACACTAGAAGTGATAGCCAGTTCAAAGAAACAGACATAATTTGTCCTCTATTTTATATATCAAGTCAATATTTTATTAAGAGGCCCACAGCACTGCACACCAGGAGCCCGCCCCAAGGACTTCCCTACCTACAGACGGCAAATCTGGATGAACCTCCCGATCCTAAAAGGACTAATATCAACCCCTTTTGCTTCCCCCTCCACCACAAGATCCGTCAATATCCGCCCTATCACCGGAGCCATCTTGAACCCGTGACCCGAAAACCCGCCTCCGACCACCACATCCTTCCCGAACTTCCCGCCCAAGAAATCGATCACAAAATCCTCAGTGGGCGTCACCGAGTACATGCATGCTTGTTTCACCACTGGTTCACTCGAATCCACTAAACCCGAGAACGTCCTGTCCAGCCATTTCTTCAACACATCCATCTTCGCCCCGGAGCCCCACGGCCTCTTGTCCGGGTCGCATGGATTCCCTCCATGCACCGCCACCTTTATCAACCCCGGAAACTCCAGCGTCGGAGTTCCGTATATGTACGTCTCCCCGTAGCTCGCGAACGTCGGAAAGTCGCCGCCGAGGGCGTATTTCGCCTCGTGCCCCCCCTTGATCCTCCAATAACACACATGGGTCTCCATGGGTTGTATAGGCAGTTCAATTCCACTAACCGCTTTAACTAACTTCTTCATCCAAGCCCCAACCGTCACTACACATTTCTTACCCCAAAACCTTTCGCCGCCTGCCGTAAAAACCAGCACTCCCCCGTTTATGTTGTCTCTCTTAATATCTATGATTTCGGTGTTGTCCCTGAGAACGGCGCCGTTTTTGTATGCTAGTGTTTGATACATGGCCGTTGCTTTTGTCGGCTTTAAGACCCCCCCGAGACCGTTAGACACGCCGAGCCAGTCGTCCGGGATGGAGATGAGGCCGGAGAATTTCTGCACCACTTGATCACTGCGGAGGACTTGGTGCGGGACTGAGTGTTTCCGGCAGTTGGCGATGACGGCCTGGAGATCGGGGTCGTCAGCGTGGCCCATGTCAAAATGATGGGCGTCGTAGTAGACCTGGTAGCCGATTTGGGCCTCGGCTTCTCGCCAGAGCTTGTAGGACTCCATCACCAATGGGTAGTAGTAGTCCTGAGGGTAGGTGGCGCGTATGGTGCGTGTCTCTCCATGAGACGACCCTCGGTGGTGCAAGAAGTCGTACTGGTCCAGCAAAAGAGTCTTCAGGCCTCTTTTCGCCGTTTGGTATGCGGCGGAGCTGCCCATTACGCCGGCTCCGACTATGATCACATCGAAACACTCGCCGGAAACACCCATTTGTCTCTGATATCGCTCTCTGTTCTCTCAGCCTCAGTGAATATGATATGTCTCTATAGGACAACTATGGGGTGTGGTGGTATCTTCTTAAATAGAGGGAGCCTTTTACTAATTACTACTCACTGTCCTGACTTTTACAGAGGAATCTGGCAAAATGCAAAGAGACCAGATCCTGGTGGGAGAAGCGTTTTTGTTGGTATTTGGGACTTTTTATCCTTTTGGCTTCGTGTCGTGAGATGGTTCTATGTTGATATTGATGTGTACGTTATGGATCATTTCCAGCCTCTGATTCTCATGCACAGCTAAGCATGATTTGTAGCAAACTTTTTATGGTAAATCCAAATCCTCGCTAACTATTTCTAATTATTTGTTTGGTCTGGTCATTGTGCGTACTGATGGCTATCCAAATATCGCGTGCAATCAGGGTAAAATATGGAATTGCTTGTGCTTACTGCATTTTTCTGTTTTTAGTCTTTGACAAATAATGAGGATATAAAGAAATATTTTGTGAGGTTATCACAGAATTTAGCAATAAATTACATTCAACTTGGGGGGGAAATATTCGCTCGGTGCAGATCAGATTCTGTATATGCATTTGTTTATTGAACATTGATTCCATGAGATTCCTCGTAAAAACGTTTTCCATATCCTCGGACATTGGAATCAATAATCAATAATATATCTAAAAGCAGAAAGGTGATTAATTATGGCGATGACTTGATTGGAGCAGTTGTAATATTTTACTTCACACGGTAAAAGCTGGCGGACGTAAAAGGAATGTGGGGATAAATTCCATGGTGGATCCACGTTGGAAGGTCATACAATTATTCAGATATGCAGAAGTTAGCTGGCCGTGTGTGTGTAGATTACAGCGCAGGTCTACGTGGAGCCGATTCATAGAAGCCTCCTCAAGCTCAAAAAATAATAATGAAACATAGACAACTTGTTGCTCATCGTTTACTAGTTTAATCATCCATTTTAGTTATAAAAGACTGCATTATTTTATCTTTTCACAAATATCCTCTCACTAAATATTATATTTCATCACTCTTATTCATGCGTGTAAGTTACTTACAGCAGAAAAATCTGGCCCTGAATATAAGTTAAGGGTAATTAATGACATTTTTTAAAATTTTATCCATATTGAACACAATAAAAAAATATGTGGGAGAATTTAATACCCTTTCTTAATAAGGGCAAAAATAAAAAAAATTATTCAATTTAATGTATTAATTAATATGTGAGAATACGATGTAAGTGACTTACCAGAGTGATAGTTAGAAGTGCTCACCTATCAAAACATTAAAAAAATATTGATTATTGCTTAAATTTTGCAAATCAATCAAGAATACCAAAATCTTGTAAAAACTGTGTTATTATAGGGGAAAAGAAGGAAGCGAGTACTATAAATTTACTGCACTAACATGGATAAGTAATTTGTATAATAGTAATATTTATTAATTTTTTTTAAATTATTCTTATAATTAACTAACTTATTTAATTTTTTTAATTTAATTAAATTAATTAAATAGATTTATATTAATAACGTGCACAGAACATCTGATGGGGCTTGCGATGTTGACGCCAGCTTTAGAGTTGGCACGCTGCCAGCAAGGGACAGATGTGACCTGAATGCACAGACAAATTGGTATAGACATGCGTTTTTAACTTTTTTTTTTTTTTTTTACCAGCAAGACGAATTCAAATTAGGCGAGAGGAGAGGACAAGTTGACGAGAGCGTGACAAGAAGCAGTTTCACGTACGGGACCAGACCACCAAACCAACTTGACACGTCACAACGACGTGAGATATTATGTGTGTGTGTGTTTTATATATATATATATAATCAACAGGCAAAGGTACACCACTCGACGGCTTCCATCATGACTTGCTTAAGGTTACGTCTGCTTCGCTTCAGTTCAGCACCTGATACGCCCTACCTTGTGAAAATTTTATTTTAATTAGTTTAATTACTTTTTTTAAAAAAAGTATTATTTTCATAAAATATCATCTTAAATCTAAGTTATCCTAATATATGCAATTAATAAGAAATAATGTTGACGAAAAAGATAGATGTGCGGTGCAAAAGAAATTAATATTTTATATTTAGAACAAAACTTAACACCTAACTAGTTATTATATTACCTCTGATTCGTAATATAGAAGTTAATTGGTTAATTTGAATAAATTAAGAAATTTTTTTAAGTTAATTATTTATAATAATTAGAAGTTATTTTTTTTAAATATCATTGTTAATTATGTATTAGTTAAAATTATAACATTTAATAAATAAAATTATGTGTGACTACTATAAAAACTATATTTAAAAAATAGATAAATATAAAAGATAAAATAGATTAAAATCTTATATTTAAAATTAAATTAAAAATCAAAATAATTTTTATATTAAGAATTAGAGGTGGTATTTTATTTATTAAATTTATAAATTTTTTATTAAATTCTTTTTAAGATTAATGAAATACTCCTCCGGTCCTTAATATAGGACTCAATTGTTGAGTTAGTTTTGATTCTAAATATAAGACTCATTTGTCATATTTATCAATTTTCTCTAAATTACCCCTATGAATACTCGCTCAACCATAATCAAGTAGAAGAAGAAGATGGGATATTAAGAAAGATGATTATGGTATTTTAGGAAAAATGTGTCACATTTCTTATAATTAACTAATTTACCTAACTTCCTTAATCTAATCAAATTAGTTAAATAAGTTTTATATTAAGAATCAGATGAGTAGTTTTTAATATAATTTGAGCACATTAATAATGCACATTTTGTATTGTTGGCATGAGTAGTGGCAGGGGAGCTGGAGGCGGCGGCGCCCACAGCGGGGCAAGAAGACCTTACATATTGTCGTCTAGCAAAACGGCGTGGTTGTACATTTTTTATTATTAGTTTTTGGATGCCTTTGTCATTTGTGAACCTCCGACTCTCACTTTCGCCGTCACTTCCATTCACCTGTTCTTCTTCTTCTTCGGATAAACCTAAAAAACCACGCTCAACTATGTACTTCTCTGCTCTGCTCAGGTACTCCCCAAACGGAAGCAGGATAGCTAATTTAACCACACCCCACAATGCACATGTTAATGGTTCTGTTTGAATTCGTTGTAAAGAAAACTTATTTTTAATATAATTTTTAGAAAAATTAGATTGAATAATATAATTTGTGTTTAGATTTTTTTTTTATAAAAATTAGTTTGTAAAGTAAAAAAGTTACTTGAATTATAATTGAATGAATAAGTTTAATTTGTAGAATAACCAAAATAAGTATGACTTTTATTAAATAATAAAAATGATTAAAATTATAAATGTACAAAATATAATAACTTTAAATTATTATAATAGAGAAAAGTTATATTGAATGAATAAAATATATTTAAATTAGAAATCATAGTAATGTAAAAAAAATTTTAAACCAAATAATATTACATAATCAGATAGATGATATACTCTACATAATTTATGTAAATATAAAATATAAAAAATTAAAAATTAAAATATTTATAAAAAGTATTAAAAATTATTTCACCTAAGAGAATATTAAAAATAAATAACTAAAAACTGATTAGAAAGTATAAAAAATATATAGAGAGAAGCGTAAGAACAATACAAACATAATGACAAAAATGTCTTCTGATTCTAAAAAGCTACTTTTACATAAGTTATATGTAAGTTTTAGATGCTATTAGAATCATGTTTAAAAAAAAAACAACTTTTAATCCATAAGTTAAATTGCTCAAAAACTATTATAAACAGCTATTAAATTTAAAAACAGACTTGTCAAATTACTTTTTTTTTTTCCCAAAGCGTCTAACCAAAGAGGCATAATATATCTATGTTGAGATTTATTTCAAACCCAGTAGGTTAATTATTACTATATCGTGTTCAAATTATAAGATTTTATTTATAATTTATAAATAAGATTTTATAATTAAAATATGAGGTAATCCTTCTTTCACCTGTCCCATCGTGCAAGATAACCCGTGTCCTTCTCATTTTAGTGTTAACTATTTGTACGATTTCTTAATTAATGATCATTTAGCTTCTGTGCTAAGGGAGCAAAATGTGTTCTGGTGAGCACGTGAAATTTCTCCAGCGATATTGACGGGAAAAGAAGTTTTCTTTTTCTTTTTTTAATATGGAAGTGATGTGACCGTAAAATACGTGTGTGTATACACGATCCAAACAAAAAAAAAAAAAAGTTGTGTGTATAACGAGGAAAGAGGCTTTCCACTTCCCATGAGATTACAATTTGAATAGCCTAGATTTTATATTATAAAATTATAAATCAAAAGTTAATTTTTTTAAAAAAGATAAAATTAAAATTAAGTAAATTTTAACCCGGATGATTTGAACAACAATAAAAATATTTTATTTATAATTTTATAAAATATGAAATTTAAACGGTTCAATTTGTGATAAAAACAGAGGGAGAGAAAAGTGGAGAAACCCCTCTGTATAACGGCATCTATAATTGTACAGGCCTACCCAGATTCCTCGTGATTTAAAGAATATACCTTTGCATATAATAAAATAAATGCATGATTAATTGATTATCATAGATATTCCTCTCAATTATCGGGTCATTGCTCTTTTCAAAAGGAAAATTGGACGGATGTACTGTTGACCCCACCACGATAATTCCATATTCGTGATTTGTAGGGCCCACGGTACGCACTTTGAAATTAATGAGGCAAATGTTAGTATCGGACCCTACCCACTATACGGCGTGAAAGATCCAACTCCAACTGGCGTCGTCAATTTGATAAAGTTCATGTCACCATCATGGGACTAACGTACCCTGCTCTTCACAGAGCTGTGTTGTAACTTTTCCCGCCGTTAAAAGAGATCGTCCAGTGCTCTAGCGTCAGCCTGCTTTGATGTTCTTTACGGGAAAAAAATAGTTTTTTAGTCCTTAAAATTTTGATTAACTTGAGTTCCTCAATTATGATACAGGATGACTCACTTCCTAACTCTGACTTGTTTGAAACTCAATCCATCTATTTATTGATTTTTTCGAAGAACATGGCACAAAGAGATGTTCTTGCATGATGAGATCCCTTATGTTCTTAATAGAATTAGTGAGAAGGTGATTCTATGAAAGTTTGTTGCAGGTAAGAATCGTCGTTTTAGAAGAGTTGTAGTAAATATGCACTCCGAGGTATTTTTCATTCCAACAAAGGTTGATGCCTTTAATGATGCTGGAAAGTTTAGCTGTTTTGGTTAAAAACCAAGGTCAATGTTGTCATCAGGACAATTTTACAATCCCTGCTCCTGCAAT